GGAGCACACGGCGGGTGTGACCGGTCGGCAGGGGATGCTCACTCCTCCATGGCACCTGATCCCACCTCTGATGTTTGGAGGTCCGTATTTGCTTTGCTCCTATTTTGTATTGATTATGGACTTTTGAGCTTGAATACTGTTCGTTATCTCCATATATTTCATGCTAGGAAAGACACGAAGGTATTTAAAAATTGTATTTTGGAATTCTGTTCAGAATAAAATCCTAAGATGACATGTTTCCACTGTACATCAAAATTTAACACAGAACTCAGATTTTTCCATAGTATTTGAACATGTTCACAATCAAAAAGTAAATGTCTTATATCCTCATTTTCATCACAAATATTACAAAAAGCAGATGTTCTGTATTTGCATTTAAGAGGGCTGGGGGGTTGTGGCCATTTTCCGACTATATTGATCTTCTTTAGAAGAAGAGCTCCATATAAAGATATACAAAAATGAACAAATTTTAAAACAAAAATGTATGAATTTTTTCTTCGCCAAATGATAGTTGACAGCTTAAGATATCATATCTAAAAAATTAAGTTATATCTGATGGTTAATTTGTTGATCCCCCAGCCTCCTTAAAAAGAAAACTGTTACAACATAATGTATTATTTAACAGTTTGTAATTAAATTCACATATTCTTTTGTCATAAATGTCTTTTACTTTGTTTCTATATATAAACTTCCAGCTCTCTTTAGCAATAGAAAATAATTTTTTAAACATTAATTGATGACTTGGAGCTTTAAATATCTTAAAGAGTAGATTATCGTAGAAAAATTTACATTTTTTATCTTCAATACAATTTACACGATTGATAAAATTAAAATAACAATTTCCTATAGTCTGTATGTATGAACAACAAGTCATATTAAATTTTAAAGCCTTTTTTTTAAAGATTGTCGTTTTTAATATTTTATATTCACATATCCAATTCGATTTTTGTTTCGGATCAAAGGACAATTCTTGTAGAGTTTTAAATTGTCCATTTTTGTTAAAAAGGTCTTTAACATGCGTTATCCCACTTTGGATCCAATTTTTAAAACATATTGTTTTGTTTTCATATTTAAACATATTATTATTCCATATTGGTTGCTGAGCAAAACTTACATTAGATAATTTAGTGTCATCGACATATCTTTTACAATCATTAAAACTACAGAATACTTCTTTATAAAAAAAAAATCGGGAGGTTTGAAATGATTTTAAAGTCTGAGGGTTTTGTCTCCGATAAAGTTAATATATAATTGATATCGACATTAAGACGATTTAAATAGCCTTCTACTATTTCGCTGAGTATACAGTTCTTATCTATTAAGAATCTAGTCCATGCCGCCTTTAAGGCCTTAAATTTCAATTCAATATCTATCACACCTATTCCACCATCTTCCTGTTTTCCGATCACAGTATCTCTTTTAATTCTATCGCGTTTATTCCGTATGAAGTTAAATATGCTGCTTTTAATTGAATATGTTCGGGATCGGGCATTGGTAATATTGAACCCATATAAATAAGTTGTGACATAGCTAATGAATTAACGACACATGATTTCCCGAAAATAGTCAATTTTCTTTTTTTTCAAGATTCAAAGAGTTTTTCCATATTTTGAAAAGTTTTAACCAATTCAATTCATAACATTGAATTTTATTATGGTCAATGTGTATACCTAAATATCGAAAAGCATCATTAGTTACCTGTATGCCTCCTACATTGGTGTATTTATCTTTAAGACTACCTAGTAATATACATTGTGTTTTGCTTAAATTAATTTTTGAGCCAGCGTGTTTACAAAATTCATTAACAGTCGTTACTGCAACATTTAAAGAAGATATATCTTCGTCTGCATGCTGAATATTTTTAATATCTCTTTTCATGTTTGATAAATTAATACCTTGTATTTCATTGTTATTCTTAATTTTAAGGGCCAATATTTCTGCCACAAATAGACAAAATAGAGCTGAAATAGGGCATCCTTGTCTAATACCTCTATTCATGCTACAAGTTTTAGAAATCCAACCATTGGTTTTAATTCCAAATATTGGTTTATGGTACAGAATTTTAATCCATTGAAGAAAATTATCACAGTTAAATTTTTTCAGAACTTGAAAAAGAAAATTCTACTCGACTGAATCGAAAGCCTTTTAAAAATCTAAAAATAGTAATAATTCGTCTCTTTCATTTTCCATACAATATTCATAAATGTCTAAAATTAATCTTGCATTTAAACCTATGTAACGACCTTTGATATATGCCGATTGTTCATTACTAATTATTTTATCTATGACACTTTGTAATTTTTTTGCGAGAACAAAGGCTATAATCTTGTAATCGGTGTTTGTTAAACTTAGTGGTCTGTTGTTTTTAAGATTATTCTTGTCACCCTTCTTAAATAAAAGAGTGTTAAGTGCCAATCGCTGAGAATATGGTAATTCTTCTTTTTCAAATACAGTTAATAATACTTCGTAAAAGAGAGGTCCAATTATATTCCAAAAGCATTTATAAAATTCCCCTGATAAACAGGGTGATTTGTTGCTCTTTACATTATGAACTACATCTGAACACTCATCAAATGTTGGAAATGTGTCGCAAAACTTTCTCTCGCGATCTTTGAGTTTTGGACATTCAATGTCATAAATATGACGAAATATTGTTATCATCAACAGATTTACTTGTATATAAGTTTTCATAGAAAAGGCACATTTCTTGTAAAATTTCACTATTACTAGCAAATGTTTTATTATTCTTTTTTAATTCAGTAATCGTATTATTTGATTGATGGGTTTTTCTCCAATCCTAGAAAGAAACTTGTATTTCGCTCTCCATCGCTTATCCATTGCGCTTTTGATCTTAGTTGAGCTCCTTTAGCAATTTCATCATACATTGCATCTAATTCTTTCTCTAGTTTTCGCTTTTCTATCATATTAATTTCTAAACTAGGCAAAGATTCAATATTATCGATTTTTTCCTCAATTCCTTGAAATCACCTCCTATTATGATTGTACTATCTTGCTCAGAAAAAAAAGAAATATACTCTGTGGTCTTTTAGTTCGAGTTGAAAAGAGAAATATCAAATCAAACGTTGTAGAGATATTTAAATGTTGAATAGAAGGTCACACCAGAGACTTTTTCTTTTCATGTTGAAGTTTTTTTTTTTAAATAAATTCTTCTTCATACAAATACCGATATGATTCTTCTAATAACAGGGCGCAATTAGTAGCCATGGTAATTTCCACAGATGTTGAAAACTTGGTCTCCAAAAACTGCATAGATATTGTCAATCAGAAACTAAAACATCTTTTTAATATAAACGTTTGGGTACTTTTGTGTACAATCAGAATGTTTTTAACAAAATAAAGATGTACATGACCAATGACAACGTAAGCAACGAGTTCCGAGTTCCATTTTATTAAAAAAGACGCTGTCGATGATGTCAAAAAACCTGAACTCAAATTCATCGTGAGGTATTGTTGTATGAATGAAATATGGAGACAAAAAAACAATAATCAAGCTTAAAAATCAATTTAAACAATGCAAATCTGGAGCAATGCAAACACGAACCTCTAGAAAACATGCCATGAAGGGGTAAACATCCCTTGTTGACATTCGCCGTATGCTCATTGTCAATTTGGGCAAAAAGAAAAATCCGATGACAATTCAGTGTTTAAATAATGGCCTTATAATTAGAATGAAAAACGTCAGTCTGCGTTGGACAATGATGGATTGTATTTGTTGACAAGGTCATTGTATCGGCCATAAAAGTTGCACAATAATGATTTTAAACGAGATAGTTGATATCCTTGTATCTTCAACTTGTTTGGCCAGTTGATTGCCTTGTTTTAGAAATGTTCGCATGTGAAGAATGCTGTAGTTTATCGAATCAACTGGGAGATATGAACTCCAAAGTGTTGAAAAGTTTTATGCTTCTATGTATCTGATTTTGGTAAAATTTTGTGATTTAAATTTTCTGAAAGTTTCTTGGAGTTTTTAAGAATCCAAATACTTTGTTGTACAATACTCCTGAAGTTTCTCTTTCACTGCTGTTAATATTTTAGTGAGAATTAAGGAAGGAGGCTTGGTTGAACATTAACTGGAACCCCCTATGTATCTTTGTTTGTAAGGATTTTTTTTTCTTTTTTGTAGTTTTGAATCCAGTATAGGTATAGTAAATCAAATTCAGTTTGATTGTTGAGAATATGGAAAATATTTAACACTGAAATATGATTTTGAAGAAGTTCCTCTAAAATACAATTAAGAGAATGAACCTTACAAACAAAGACTTTCTTGTTACCTGCTTTGTAAGCTGCCTTAATCTCAACGCAAAATGTAATAATGCAATATTTTATGATTCATGTTATTACATATTGTTTTATCAAATCTTGAGTTGATTTAGACACGAAATGTTATCGCACAAAATATAATTATCATGGGTTATTAAAATTTTGCGTGGTTATTACATTTTACAATGTAATAAGTCCTTCTGAATTATACCAAATGTTTTCACAATTTTGTTTTTAATTTGACAAAGAAAAATCCCAGTAAGAAATTGTATTATCATTAAATGTGTATGATTCAAATATATCAGCCTTGTCTCACTATGTCTATTATATATTAGATCAATTGATTTAAAAATATGATTTAAGAATTAATGACAAAGCCACTGACTAAAAAATTTATATAAAAAAAATGATTGGCATGATACTCATCTTTTTATGTTAAAATTTAGAAAAAAATTCTCATTTCTCCTCAAGGCTTTATTATGTTCTAAAGAAATGATAGGAATCTTCTAAAGTAACGATATACGTTTAGCATTTTCCTTTTTCCGTCTAATTCAAGCTGAGTATTCAATCATTAATGATAGTACTACCATACTCCAATCATCGGCTTTCTTTTTAAATCGAAGTTGACGCCCCCAAACATATACTTGTATGCGCATATTATAAATATATAGAAAATATAATTTCGCTTAATAAGAGATTTTTTTTTCTAATTTTTATTATCTTCATAGCAAGACACGATGAGCTTCCACAATGTTTCTATTTTTCTTTTTGTTTGTTTCTGTTATGTGGACTGTCAGAATACTACTAACATAACAGACCAGAAAACCTTGTCCGATCTGCGGAATAGAGTGTCTTTATTAGAGAGGGCTATTGGAAAAATGCTTACTGGGAAGGAAAACGTCAACATAACAACTGTCAATGTACCAAGGAAAGGTATGGTATCAAATTTTGTTGCATATCATTGTAACTGTAACTGATAATATAAGTTCTATTGACCTGAAGATTTATTGTTTTATCTTTGAATCATATCGGATGATTTTATATCTGAAATTCGATCAGAATACTGCAGTTTAAACAATCAAAAACTCATTTTTTATCGATTACATGCAAAATTTTTTTACACGAATGAAGTTGCAGTGAATGGGTTTATATAAATATTATAGGATGTATGGTGTTATTGTTCTTTTATTTTTATTTTTAAAAAAAAATAGAGAAAAAAACATCGTAATGGAAAGATTACGACCTGTCACAAGTTATGAAATCCCCATACAAATTTTTATTTTAGATATGAAAGGAAAATGGGATTTTCAACAGATGAAGTCAATTTTAGATGATTGTGGGCTTCATCAGATTCTATTTTTTGACAAGTGTAATTCTAAAAAAAGCTCAAAAATGAGTTTTTTTTCATAAACAGTTTGATTTCATTGCCGTACAAATACCGTGTTTTATAACATATTTCCTATCCCTTTGTTAAAAATATTTACATATTCTTGTCTTTGCATCAAATAGGTTTGCCTATCTTCAATAACACACCAATAGTATTTTGCGCTCGATCTAGTAGCAGTGTGAGTGGAATCAACACTGGATTCATACTGAAATTCCCCACCGTCAATATCAACCTAGGAAATCACTACAACCCAACTAATGGAATCTTCATCGCACCTGTTCACGGTCTTTATATGTTCCATTGGACAATGCAGTGTTACTATAGTGGTAGCACACATTGTAGTACCGGTCTAAGAGTTAACGATTCACTGAAAGGAAAAATACGGTCTGGAGAAGAGGCCAGTGGGTACTACCATACTGGATCCAACACAGTGATAGTAGAAGTTGAGGCAGGAAGCCATGTGTGGATTGAAAATGAGAGCTATTCTAATGTCTACATTAATTCTGATTCATCATTTGCAGGATCGCTTTTGCAGATCCTTTGAACAAAATTGAAAATATTTTATTGTAACTTTGCGTGATCGAAAAACTGTGACCACTCTCTCTGCATATTCCAGTGATCTTTCTAGAGAAAATTTAAGCCAATGCATATATTGTCATTGGAATATATAACATTTAATCGTAGATGGATAGAACTCTCTGACTTTTAAGTTGTTTTCAAAACCACTGTTTGGGACATGTTAACTGTATTGTTATCTAACATTGGAAGTCAATTTTGACTCTGATTAAGATTTTTTTTGTATATTTGCACAAGAAAGATGATAATATGAAGATTAATTTTTGTTTCACATTTGTAAAAAATGTTATGATAACAAACAGTGATGAATCTAAAAAAAAAACATCCACAATCAATACCAATCCATGTACAAGGCATAAAACACGGACCCCCAGAAATTCCAGAGGTGGGGTCAGATGCCTTGGAAGAGCAAGCATCCCCTGTTGACCAGTCATAACCGCCGTGAGCCCTATATATTGATGAGGAAAACGGAAAGAGTTCAATAAAAACACGAATGCTTCGAGCAATGAATTCAAAAGTACAGGATAAAAACACATCACAATTAGTATTAATTGTAAACAAAGTTTGACTCTGACGCTTAACAGTTTAACTTTGAATGGAACTGATAAATATTTAGTTCAGATAACTAAAATGAAACATTATGGCCATAGGAACTGGGAGTTTGCGACACACACACACACACACACATTGTCTGGGGATTTTAGCTTTGTAATGCTCCCCCAAATAAAAATAAAATGTTTGGTAATGCCCCAAACAAAATTTGTGGCTTTTCAACTAAAGCAGGTGACGTCGCTATTGAGTGAAAAATTCTCGAGTTGGACGTTAAATAACATATAATCGATCAATTAATTTACTGCGACACGGGACCTTCTTCACGACCGGAAGTAGGATTCGATCACAATTCGTTATGTAACCGAGCAGAAGAACAACGCATCTAGATTCACGTTGATTTGTTTATTTTAAACAACAAATAAATAATGGCAATATCATTTGAACAAAAGAATACATATAATTCTACCTTTTAGACAAAATATTCCCTCAAAAATAGAATAAATTATAACATTATGCTATGAAAGGAAAGTATTTTTTTTTAAATACACGTATTGACAGCAGGACCACGAAGTGTTGTGACCTTGAAACTGACTGGCGGGACATGTAGTACTGAACGAACCTGTGTATTTACACCCAGATCTGCTGTGCAAGTGAATTGGGTTGATTTGTACCAGAGTTAAGTGAGAGTGTGGGTTATATGTACATAATTCATACTTTTCTATAAACTCCGCCCATCAATTCAGGACAAAAGAACATTCAAAGAACTAAGCCACATTTTTTAAATCAAACAAATCCGGACTAGGTATACCAAATTAAAGAGGGGGGAAAATTATAAATTTTAAAAATATTAGATAATCATTATGAATTGAAAATTTGCATTTAAGAGTTTGACTTTCGTTAACAAATGTACAACAAGTGAAGAATTCGCTTGATTTTTTTTAATTATTAATATCTTATCGTTCTATATATAACAAACTTTGGTACATAAAACCAAAACGTACTTAAATAATTAAGTTTTAGATTTTATTTACTGTAGAAGAAAAGGCCTTATGTGCCACTATGTACGAGGAGAGTTGGTAACAAGTTTAAGTTAAACAAAAAAAAAGAATTTAATTATGTTAATAAAAGGTTTGTATTATTTAATTTTGACGTTTTAAATATATGAAAAAAAAATAAATCAAATCGACATGCCTCATTGAAAACAAGTACTATTTCTTAAATAAAACAAGTAAGTCAAAATTTATAAGCAGACTTTTAATTCTTTATACTAGTAACTATGGTACAAGAGCTACGTCCCTCGTGACATTATGACCACGCCCATAGGGTATATGCACATAACCAACAATATTATATGGGTAAATACTAGTAAAAGTACCAGTCAGGTGTAAGATTACAGTGTTCGACAAAGTCCTTTACAAAATATTAGAATCTCACTGACTTGATTCAAATAACGTTATTTGACTTAATGATAGATTGCATTTGCTGACAAGGTTATTATATCGACCATACAATATGCAAAATGTAGATTTACACGAGACTGTTTATATTCTTGTTTATCAGCTTATTTGTCAATAGTTTCTCTCGTTTTAGAAATTGTTCATACGTAGCATTGCTCTTGCGTACCGAATCAACTGGGAGAAAACTCAATATGCAGATGATAATGTTATATTGCAATATAAATAAGGGAGGTTGACGATAGGAAATTTGAAGTCATCCCGTTATCATAAAGTTCTGTTAGTATGTTATGATTAATGTCTTTTTCTAGTAAAATATCCAAAAATGAAACAAATTTGTACGATGGTATCTTTCATTTCCAGTTCAAAGGGATGTATCGAATACACGTAGGAATGGGGAAAAAATATTGTTAATTGATAACACGTCGTCGATATACATGTATCTAAATATTGAATTGAAGACCAAAACAAGAGACTTCTTCTTTTCATGTAGAAGCTTTTTAATAAATTCTGCTCTATAGGTCTGCTAATAACGGGGCACAATAAGTACCCCTGAGTATTCAAACAAATTGTTGGAAGACTTTATCTCCGAAAACTACATTGATATAGTCAATTAGAAACTCAAGCATCGTTTTAATGTTTACTTCAAAGTACTAATGAATACAATCAGAATGTTTTGAACGAAATAATTTTGAAAATGACCAGTGACAAGGTAAGTACACGTACGAGTTCCGTTTTTATTGAAAAATCAGCCGTCTATGACGTCAAAAAGTCTGGACATAAAATAATCGTAATGAATGGTTGTATAAAGTTCTGCCAAGTCGTGCGTTTTGATGTTAATAAAATTTGTTAAAATTATCTGATTTCAATTTTTCTAAAAGTTCCTTTGAGTTGTGCAGTATCCACATTTGATTCTCGCCACTTTTCTAATATATTGTTTTCCTTTCACTGCTGTTAATGTATTTAAGTGTATTATAGTGAAGAATAAAGAAAGAGGCTAGGTAGAACATTTACTGTAACCAGCTATGTATCTTTGATTTTAAGGATTTTTATATAGTTTAGGTATCCAGTATAGGAATGGTAATTCAGATTAATTTGATTGTTTGGGAATATTAAAAATATTAAAGACTGACACATGATTTTGAAGAATTTTTTTCTTAGAAAGGGAACTATCGCTGGCAGAATTAAAATTCAAGTACTTTTAAAATACAATTAAAATAATGAGCCTTACAAAGATAATGTTGTTACCAGTTTTGGCAGCTGGGACAAGTACATATATTGATTGTGTAATCTATCTTATTCTTTTTTTACTTTTGAACTATTGAAGACAGAAGAACAGATGATTTGTAATTGTCCTTACACCGCTTAATGCTAGATTTCAACATCTATCTGATACTTTTAATCCATTCAGACAAAATGTCATGGTCTTCTTTTTCATGTTTGGCCCATTGCGTGACGTAATCTTCCACAAAATATCTATGAATTTTGACGCCAGTTGAAAGATTGGGGTTCCCCAACTTTTGGCCCTTTTAAAAAAAGTGATTTAAGGTTCCCATTATTAACTTTATTTATTACCAATAACGACCCGTCCAGCAGGATTATAGTTGTAGTGTGAAGACCATTAACACGTAGGAGGATTCTGTTCTAGATGTTTTATATCTAGGCACTGTCGAGTTTTGTTTTGGTAATTTAAAAGTATGGAAGCAATTGTATATATGTAAGAAATACTAGGTGTAAACTTTAACTTGGCGTTTTTCATGCTGATTGTTGGGCCATTGTTTATACACTGAACTGTCCACGGATTTTTCCGGTTTTTTCCCGATCATGACAGGGAGCACGCAGCGGATGTGACCGGTCGGCAGGGGATGCTCACTCCACCATGGCACTTGATCCCACATATAAATTTTGAGGTCCGTATTTGCTCTGCTCCAAATTTGTATCGATTAATTCGACTTTCGAGATTAAATACTGTTCTTTATTTTCCTATTTCATTGAAATAAGGTGGAATACAAGACGGACATTTTTCTGACTAAGAAGATTTCTAATATTTACTGCGTCAATTCCTTTCTTGGCAAACTGAAGTTTAAGGAACAAACAAGTTGCTTGAGCAGTATTCTCTTCCGTAAAAAGCCTTGATTTGCAATATCAATAATCACCTGTATTCTGGTATCGAAAAATCCAATTAAAAATTTGAAGAATTCAGAAATAAAAAAAAAAACCGAGTTCTACATACGGAACCCATAGATCTGCCATTTGGGAACCGAACAATTATATTTGAGGCTTCATTTTCTATGCATATCCCTAATGGAAATTATAAAAAAAAATCTAAGTTATAACCAATTTACAGTCTTTATGGGAGATCTTTTATTTGTTCAAATGGAATTCGTTCTCGGTGTGACAATGAATCTCAATTTTTCTTACAAGAAAATAGCTTTTTGCTACATCTATTGAATAAAATGTCACCATTCTTCAAAATATATATATATGAATACAATTATTAGGCATGACCAAAATGGAAATACATGTAAGTCAAAAAGTTTGGAAACGATGAACACAACATGAGCACAATCCGTTTCCATATTTTTGCAGACACAACAGGATGAATATCAGACTTATTAACGCCAACAATATACGAAGAGTGAATTTTTGATCTCGCAAATTTGCACACTCGTTCTGTGAGTTTGTCACTTTGTTTGCCGGGAGAAGGCAACCGGCATACACTGTATTATCAGACTGAGGTATTTCACATTCAAAAAGTGTAATGCTATGAGATAAGGAACATTTTTGTGTTTTCTTAAATTCTGTAAAACACTTTTACTTGGATTATAATGAAGTCTCCAAGAAAATGCATAATCTTCTACCTGGTTTGGTAAACATTGTAAGGAAATTTGTTAATTGCTCATTAGAGCAGTATCATCTGCTAGTAAAATATCTGGTATATGGAGATCACCCAGTACAAGACCATGATTATTTTTGCATATTTCATATAATAAGTCCTTAATATACATAAGAGACATAAAGGCACTAAGTAATCTTCCTTGTCCTACACCTTGAGATATTTTGAACAAATTGGAGTTTACATGACAAAATGATACAAAACACTTGCTGTCATTATACCAGTACTTCAAATTTTGCAAAAATCTGGAGTTATTGTCAAGAATATACAACTTAAATAAGAGACCAGTATGCCAAATTCTGTCAAAGGTTTTTTCAATACCTAAAAATGCACAGAAACTGGAGAACCTC